CTATTTTCTCGATCTTTTGCTTGTTTTTGTACCTTGTAATTTCAAAGATTATTAATCTTTGAAATACAAGCTAAAACGAAGCGAAACAAACAGAGAAAATAGGGAAAAATCATCAACTTAGGCAAGAACTTCAACAAAGTTCAAATCTTTAATCTTTAGGGTGTGTTTGGTAATGGAGTAGAACTGTAGAACATTTTCAAAAAAATATTTTTCAATTTTTCTATGTTTGGTTTGGTGGTTCAAATTTTTCAAAAAACATACATTCACATTAATTATCTCCTCCAAACAACCCAGCCCACCCCACCCTAGCCTCATAGCCCTATCCCCACCCCACCAACATAGTATTTGCTTACATTATATACAAATATCTTTCGATAATAATTTTGTTAAATTACCAAATACAAGAAGATTTTATAGTCTAGTGCACTAAGCTCTCGTTATGCAAAAGATTTGAGTAAGGCCAAATCACAAGGGTCTACCATACATAGTCTTACCCTGCATTTCTATAAGAGACTGTTTTTACCGCTCAAACCTATGACCTCTTGATCACATGAGGTCAACTTTAATGGTTACGCTAAGTATAGCCATCAAACGCAACAAAAAAATACCAAACATGTGCGTTTGGTACGAAGAAAAATATTTTTCAGAAAATAATTGATTTTTCAAAAAGAAAATATTATCTCAAAAATATTCATATTACCAGTGGGATGTCGGGGTGGTGGAGTTGGGAGCTAGGAGGGTGGAATGGGGAGGAGTGGGATGGACTGATGAAATTTGTTTTCTTTACTTTTATCAAGAAAGTATTTTTCTCAGTTTTAAGATAGAGAAAATATTTTTCAGAAGTTTTGAAAAATATTTTTCTCGATGCCAAATACACTCATAAACGGTAGAGATCTAAAATTTGTTAAAAAATTGAACATTTTTTTTTTCTTTTCAGATTTTTAGTTATAGCCAATGGATTAGCTGCTGCTTACTCTCTGATTCAAGTTCTAAGGTGCATTTTCAGTATGATAAGAGGAAGTGTTCTTTTCAACAAGCCCTTAGCTTGGGTTATTTTCTCTGGTGATCAGGTACAAGATATTTGTATTAGTTGTTGTTTCCGAGTTTTGATTGATAAAAAGAGCTAACTAGTTAAGAGTTTTTAGAATTAACCCTTTTAAAAGTTGAATTAATTGCTCGAACTTTTCAAAAATGTCGATGGATGTGTGTCGGGTTTCTCCAAATGTAGTACATTGTTAGAGGATCTGCTGCTGCATTTAGAAACTGATCTGATTCAAATCAGGCATATCCTTTAGCACTTTATCATAGATGCACTTTATTTTACTCCGTTTTTAGGGTGGTTGGGGTTGTTCATTGAGTATTATGGATAATATATTTTGTATCATGAACATGTAGCCGGTAACACGCTTATGTTGAAGTTCTAATAGGAGCTGGTTCGTTAGTGTTGGTATGATTGTATTTGTCATTCCTAGTGCTCTAAATGCTTTTATCCCCGTTTTGGCACCTGCTTTTGCACTACTTCTCTTATTATCCTGGTAATCAGTACAAAAGGTCTTCTTGCATATAACTTGTGGGACAAAACTGTTTGTACCCGTATGGCTAATCTCAGATTTAGAGTTGGTCAATTCTGCTCTCTCTCTCTATATATATGCCCATTTTTTTCCGCACACACATATATAGTAGCGTTCTGCAGCAGCCAGCAGGTTCTTTCGGACCTGTGGTGAGTACAGACCCGCTACTGGTTTTGACTAGAAAAATCTTTCGATCAATTGTCTCTATACATTCTGAAAACAGGACGATTCTTCTATGTTTTATGACCGTCCTATCTTGACCGCTAAACCCTCTAACTAGCAATATGTGAGACTTTTGAATTTGGGAAGGCTGAAGACGGAAGGTTTGGTGTTACCACGTATTTTCTATCTAACAAATTCCCCGGAAACAGCCTCTCCACCCTACAGAGGTAGGGGTAAAGTCTCCGTACATCCTACCCTCCCTAGACCCCACTTGTGAGATTACACGGGATATGTTGTTGTTCAACAATTTCCCCGGGGCATTTAATACAGTCTAATGCTGTCTTTTAAGAACAAGTTCTTAGTCTATCAACTTTTTGGGACCAGTAGTTAAAGCCACTGCCATAAATTGTGACACCAGAAACTGGATGAATACATTAAATGTATCTGCACTTAAAATATGAAATGAATGCTCCATATAAGTAGGTGGCTCTGGCCCAAATTGCTTGTCTTTTGGATACTATATTGGAAAATCTGTCGTATAGTTCATCAACTCATATAAACCTTCAGAAATATGACACACAATGACGCCTATGCCTAAGTTTGAAACCAGTTGAGGCCGGTTATATGAATCCTCATCGACCTGACCATATTTCCTCGACTTCAGAAATGATGCACACCCCTAATACATGGAAAAAATATAAAAATCATCCTGTCTTACCTGTAAGACCCGTCAAACCTTGTGTACTATTTCTGTGGTCCAAATCCAGCAGTTAGGAAGTTCAATGTTGAATGTTGTTGACCATCTTTAAAGGGTAGTTCAATTAGCTTTAACTATATCTTTTTTGGGGCATTAAGATGAACACTTTAACTTGGTCTCAATTGACAAGTGACAACCACACTCTAAACTATTTAGAGTATGCACATCTAGACATCTCAACTCATCTCCGTGTCAGTTGAACACTCAAATGATCATCTAGAAACCTTCAAAAATTGAAAATTCATGTTCCACGTCAGCATCAAGTGTCCACGAGATACATTTTTGACAAGTTGGATGATTACTTGTCAGTTTAGATCAAGTTGAGGTGTCTAGATATGCACTATCAAAGTTTTAAATATTTACTTGCCAACTGAGGTCAAGTTCGAGTGTCTGTTTATGTATTATGCCTTTTTTTTACTTTTCATTTGCTATGCAATACTCAAATTATACTCTTTTAGCCTTCTAGAGTACTGTAAACATCAAAGTTCAAAAAGAGTGTATTTGTAATTTTTTTTTTCAAATTTACGCCTCCGTGAAGAAGTGTGACTAGTAATCTAAAAAGACAAGTTACGTGCTACAACAGATTAAAATACAGTGACGTCTTTTTCGCGTGCAGTTGATGGCCTACTTGAGTCTGGCGGCAGTGGCGGCAGCAGCTCAGTCTGGAGTAATTTCCAAGTTTGGTCAACCAGAGCTACAATGGATGAAAGTTTGCAATTTGTATGGAAAATTTTGCAACCAAATTGGAGAAGGCATTGTAAGTTCTCTAATAGTTAGCCTTAGCATGATTGCCCTCTCTGGTATTTCAGCATTCAGTCTCTTTCGTTTGTACGGAAACAACGGAGGGAAGAGTAATGCTAGATGATCATCTCTCCGAGCGTTAGTGGACAGAGTTAATTGCAGGTATCCTTGTAAATTTGTCGAGATGTGCAAAAGCTGACCTCGATACCACGATTATCAAGAAGATAAGGAAAAGTAATGCTAGGTGATGAGTAGAGTAACTTGGTGGATATTTGGTGTTTTGTACTATGTTGTCTTATGTTGAAACTATTGTATAATAAAATGATTTTGATTTTTCTTTTGTAAAAAATAAATCTAAGACTAATGTTGGTGGAGTTATACTTCACCTCTTTTCTTAATTTTAGAAGTGTATCGATAAATAACGAGTTATAACGTGTATATATATTTAGTTATATTTTACTTCGTTTTTTAGTTTTACATGTGTGTTGTATAAACAAAGAATTTTAACTTGTAACCAAAAGAGTTTTAATTTATTCCACCAAATTGTATGAAGAAATTTTATACTAGTTGTATGTATTTTCACGCTCTTTGAGATCTCGAAAAATGAACAAATCCTTTCTTGATTGCTTTTATGTTGGGTAAATTTGGTTAATTAATATGTGTATTCACGATAATCTCATTTCTTTCGATAGAGAAAGAAACTCTAAGAAAAACGAATCAATTGAAAATTATATATTTTTTAAAATGGAATTTTTCTAAAGGCAATTCTCGATCATTTTTCAAAAAGTTTGATTTGAAAACAAAATATTTATTTTGTGAGATGAGGCTTCAACTTCAACTTTGAAACTATACTGAATCATTCTCGGAAATTGAATAATGTATGATAAATATGTAGCAAATCATAATATTTTCATGTAAACAAAATATACAAAATATGAATTAATTAACTAAAAATCTTACTAATTTAAACAAAAAAGCATTTATTACCATTTTTAGTTTTGTTTGGTTAGAAAAAAAAACTATTTTTTGCAAAGGTCATCTAAAATACTAATTTTCTCTAACAATTTTTTTAACCAAACACCATCAAAATGAAAAAAATAATGAACTTGATATTTATTTTACTCCTTGATTATTTTAAATTCAAGTAGGAAATGTTACGTTACAAAATAAAATATTTCAAATAAATAATGATTCCATTCACAAGACTCAAATTTAAAATTTATATTTTATAATGAAAAATTATTTATTAGATCGAGGATGGTTCATAACTTAAAATATTTTTAAAGCTATAAAAAAGGACTTGAAGAAAAATAGAAACAAATAAAATAAAAAATATATATCTGAAAAAAAAAAGTAATTTGTAGAGGGAAAAAGCAAATACCATTCTTAAAAAAATAAAAATAAAAAATCACCCAATGAATTTCACCAAAAAAAACCCAAAATTTTCTGTGTAACGTCCAATAATTGTATCAACAAAATTTCCAAATTGGGAAATTTTACTGAAAAAATTTATCAAAACCCAAAATTTTCTGTGTAACGTCCAATAATTGTATCAACAAAATTTCCAAATTGGGAAATTTTACTGAAAAAATTTATCAAAATCAATTCAGAGTTAAATGGGTCGCTCTCGTGGGAATTTTCAAGCTGATGAAGATCCCAGCCAAAGGTTGAATTTTGTTAAATTTTTTTTTGTATCATCTTTAATTTTAACAGTATTTTTTTAGTTTATGGGTGTCTTTTAATTTGTATAAACTAATAATGAGTGTTGAATTTTTTTATTTTTTTTTTGCTTCTAGTTTTTGTGTTAATCATTTGAATTTTTAGTCAATAACTGAAAGTGTTATTTATTGTAGGTTTTAAGTACTAGTGGCTGTGAAATTGTTTAGGTTTATCTTGTTTTCTTGGTAAAGATTAAATTTTTATTGCTAACATTGAGTAGTCAATTGTATATCTTTCGAGTTATAGGTTTCAAACTAGTAATGAGTATTGATTTGGTTGGCTTAGCTTGTTTTTGTGGTAAATATTAGATTTTACTGGTAATGATTAGTCAAATGTTGAGAATTAGCTCTATTTTGTGCTTATATTGTGCGAGGATGAGCGTTGGCGCAATGGTAGAGTTGCAATATTAGATTTTTATTCGTAAATGGTTAGTCGATAGTTGAGAATGTGTAGGTTTAAAGTACTAATGGGTTGGGTTTATCTTGTTTTCTGGTAAAGATTAAATTTTTTATTGGTAACGTCGAGTAGTAACTTGTGGCGAGTGTCTTCTAGTTATAGGTTTCAAGCTGGTCATAGGTAATAATTTGTTGGGTTCAACTTGTTTTTTGGGTAAAGACTAGATGGTAATGATTAGTCAATTGTTGAGAATTAGCTCTAGTATGTGCTTTTATGGGGCGAGAGTGATTATCTGCGCAATGGTAGATTGCTCTTCCGTGACCTACAACTTCTTTGCAGAAATGCAAGGGGAAGACTGTGTACAATATATGCTCACCCTTCCTCTACCTTGCACTAGCTGGGGTACTAATTTCACATTGACAATCCCTTATAATTTATGAGCAAGCTTATTGAATTTTGGCATTGTTTATATACCCTTTTCTGTTCTCCAAAGAATAGGACGTACTAATGATCATGATATGTGCGCATTACTTGTGAATTTTATGTCTTTAATGGCATTAGAGGAGAGTGGATACTGTCTTTTATCTTTTCTCACTTGTTTCTTGCTGATATCCTGTAGTTTTATTACCCGTTTTCCTTTGTTTAGATCAAGGAGGAAAAAGAATGCCTCAAGTGTAGACAATTTAGAATCTGCGACCACTGGTAAGTTTCATCTAACTAGTTTTTAACTATTTAAATTCAGTTTAGTTCTGATTCTTGTGGATGGCATCTTATTATATTTGGTTATATTCTTTTCTATCCATTCAATTCATTTTAGGTTTTTGAATTTTGCGATCTGGCTAAGGTCTTTTTTCCATTAACTTAGTCAGTTTTACTGGTAGATGAAATCAACGGTGACTGAACTTTAAACAGGATCCTATTTCCCTTTTCATTTTTGAAATGACAATTCATGTCCTTTCACCAGAGAAGGATAAATTCCTAAAGTGCAGATTCTTCTGGATGTGTACCTTCACAATGATGTCATTGTAACTCAATTTTTTATAGACCAATATGTCGGAGCTGTTTCTTGCAAGCATGAATTTCTTTTAGATCCCCAACTTTTTCGGTATGAACATATGGCAACAACCTTTAAATTATTAAATAAAAGCATAGCAAATGTTATTTCAGGTTCCAAACATAATTTTGAAATATTTGAGTAATGGTGGAGGTATCTTGGAGCTTGCATAAATAATCTAACTCCTTACTTTGGAGGTAGAATTCTTTAGTAAGAGATGTTCAGAAACAGTATTGCATTTGCCTAGTGTTCGAAAAGAGGGGTTCCTCAAGTGAAAAGCACCCCATTCCTCCGACCTTGAGGCCGGGGATTTAAATCATCAAGGGAGCAAAAAGTGGGGAAGGGCCACTGCTGGGTCCTAGTGTTCGTGTAAAAGAAAAACATCTTAGGGATTTTTTTTGGATCAAGATTATGTCTCCAAATCATTATAATGTTTTCAGTGCATAGAGCATAGCCCTTTGAGATTTTTATTGGGTTGATTGGTTGAATGGATGAAAGGAATTTGACCTTTTTTATTTTGTGCGATGCAATTCTAAACTTGTGGTCTGATGCCTGAGGGACTAATAGTTTTTTCTTCTTCTTTCTAATTATTTTAACCCGATAATTTCTTATACTTCTCAAAAATCCAAATTTTGTGCAATTTCCGTCCTAAAAGCTGCTGCAAATTTGTATATCATTTGCATGAGCCATAACTTACTTTTGGAGTCTTTCAAATTTGCAACCACTCATATGTTGACATAATTCTTTTGATTACTCAGGTCAAGGGACAGCTGATGGCAAAAGGGCCTTGTATCACTGCAATTATTGCAACAAAGACATTAGCGGGAGAACTCGTATAAAATGTGCTGTATGTTACGATTTTGACCTATGTATAGAGTGCTTCTCTGTTGGTGCTGAGGTGCATCCCCACAAAAGCCATCACCACTATAGGGTTATGGTTAGTTCTTTCTTTCTTTCTTTCTTTATCGGTTGATAAGTATGGTACTACAGTTAGTTCTTTGTTCAAGCTTGTCATATTAGTAGTAATACATATGAAAAAACTTCACTTGCCAAAAGAAAAAAAAAGTGCACTACAGTATGGACTTGATGTTTTTGTTAATGCATGGTTTTTAGAAGCTTTCTTCATGTTTTTTAATGGTTCCCGCACCTGTTTGGGAGATAACGTTCATCTTCTTGCAGTAGGTATCAGAATTGGTGCATTGTTGTAACGACCTTCATGTCTTTGAACAGGATATCTTAGCTTTCCCGCTTATTTGCCCAGACTGGAATGCTGATGAAGAGATGTTGCTCCTTGAGGTGTTTTTTTGAGAACCCTCTTTTTTGGACACCTCGTGTCTTTCTTTATTACTGAGATTGACCTTTAACTTTTCCCATTAAGTAATTATAACACCAATACCCCTTTTTCTTATTGTCTTGATTCCTTGAATTTGCTATGCCTAGGGAATTGAGATGTATGGCATGGGTAATTGGGCTGAAGTAGGTGAGCATGTCGGAACAAAGACAAAAGAAGCCTGCATTGACCATTTTAAGGATGCGTACTTAAAGTCACCTTACTTTCCTCTACCAGTAAGAACTTATCAGAAATATTTTGCAAGTTTAATTCTTTTGACTCACCATTTCACCTGCATTTTCCTTTTCCATTTCCAGGATATGACTCACGTCATGGGGAAAAACAGAATGGAACTCCTTGCCATGGCTAAAGGGAATTTCACTGATAAGAAAGGTTAGGAATCTAATTCTCAATTCTAATTTCTCTAGTTACTTTACGTGGTTGTTCTTCTTGATAGCCTGATCTTCTACCATTAGAATAACGAACATGCTTGCTGCAACATAAGTGATGGTCTCGAGATCAAAATGTTTGCAGTTACATATCTCGTTAAATAACTAGCAGTGGCCTGTGAAATGATTCTATCTATACTGCATGTAGAAGTGTTTTGTCTATCTTCTTTATTGTACTAATAAAATATCTATCAACTAAATAAATAGGAAACAATAGTAACTCTAGGAGATCTCTTTATGAATGTTATCTAATATATGGTATATATATCACAGCATCACTTATTTCTACTTCTGTAGATGATAGTTTTGTTACTTCTCTTTTACAATGAGTTGATATTTATGGTCAAATATGGAATTTAAGTTGTTAGTTAATTACTTAATCGTTATTAATACAAGAGACCCCACAACTCAATGCTCTCCATTCACTAAAAACTGAATCTATAATTTGTTTTTATTGATAGTTTCGGTCTTTACTTTCCTTATTTCATGAAACAACAATATGCCCAGTGAAATCCCACAAGTGGGCCTAGGGAGGCTAGGATGTGCGTGACCCTTTCCCCTACCTTTGTGGTCTTCTTGATTCTTTGTTTTCAATAAAATCTTTGAGTACTTTATGAGGAAAATTGTGAAAGAAAAAATCAAGTCTAAATTACAAAAAGCTAACATCAAAGGATGTGAAATTAAATGAAACAACTTTAACATCAAACTGAAATAACCAAAAAGATGATGAAATCAAATTTTACTTCAACTATACAAATGATAGTGGAATACATAAGGATTCAAAAGATATTTCCAATTCATCGTGAATAGACAAATTAAATGTCGTATGTTATAGTTGCTTGCATACTACTTTCTCATGGGTGCAAACTAGTTGCAAAGAGATCATGGTGAGGGCGGGGATTCGGATAGGTTGATGGGAATTCTTGTGGGAAAAAATAGGGATTCACGTAGTACTAGGAGTTGAGTGTTTTATCTCGATTATGATGAATCTTTACAACATTTTGTTACATTTGATGTTTGTGGCAATTGCAGGACTCTCTTCACTTGGTGATGTTGCTCCTAAAGATGAATCGTTCTCTCCGTCTCGAATCAAGTATGAATATCATATTCTATATTCTGTGTACATGGTTTATTGTATTTTGTCTGTTCTAATCATCTAGTACTAACTTTCTTCTTGCGTGCTTGCCATTAGAGTTGAAGACACTCATAAAATTGGTCCTTCAGGACGTTTAACTTCTGTATCCAATGCGGGTAAGACCCTTTTTGGTCCTATCTGAATGTAGTATTTACTTTATGTTATGGACTTTTTGAGCCGCTAACAGCATGGATGCTGCAGGAATCACAGGCATAAAAAAGCCATCCAGCAAAACGCTAATCAAAGATCAAAATGAACCTGTTAAATTTGAAGGTATGACAACTTACCATTCATCACTGAAAAAATTTGTGAAGGAATTGCTCAGTTATAGTTAATTCATTACAAAAACAACGACAACATACCCAGTATGCATAGGGTAGGATGTACCCAGACCTTACTCCTACCTTTGAGGGGTAGAGAGGTTGTTTCCCATAGACTCTTGGCTCAAAAGAAGGGTAGACAAATCATAGTGGAAAGGAAAATAACAACGACAAAACAGCAAGATAAATAGATCAAATGAAGCAACATGTAATAATATGAACGCTAAAAGTAAATTTGTTGTTGGCAGATAATTCAGGCAGAAATTTTGGAGGCAAGAAACCGAAATCTTTGAAGGATGATGGATCCTCATTGATGAAATTAAGTGGATATATTCCCAAGAGGCAAGAATTTGATCCTGAATATGATAATGATGCGGAGCAACTATTGGCTGATATGGAATTCAAGGAAACTGAAACTGAAGAGGAGCGCGAACTTAAGCTGCGTGTTCTGCGTATCTATTCCAAGAGGTACTTTTTCTTTCCTCCGTCACATATTTCATGATTTCTTCAGTTATCGTATTCCTTCAGAGTCAAGTTTCAACTAATAATGGCAGGCTTGATGAAAGAAAACGCCGCAAGGTTTTTATTCTAGAGAGGAATTTACTCCAGCCAAGTGAATTTGAGAAGAATTTGTCACCAGAAGAGAAAGGTATATGCCGATGTTATGATGCCATTATGCGCTTTCTCTCGAAGGAGGAGCATGAAGAATTACTTAAGGCTGTGGTCTCAGAACATAGATATCTGAAAAGAATACAAGAACTCAAGGTGCGAAACTCTGCTCTGTTGTTTATTTGTACCTTTTTTTTTAATGAAACTAAACGTCGGCTTGTATATAGAAGCTCAGTAAATTTATAAAATTAGAACCATATGTCATTTGACTAATCTATGACTATATTAGCAAAACGTGATACAAAATCACTTTCTATCCTAACACCCGAGGGTATGATCTAGTGGTCAATGAAGTGGGTTGCGAACCATGAGGTCACCCAACGGAGACAAAAATACAATAAATAGAATGTTTATATTACTATAACCCCTTGAATACAATAAATTCAATGTTTTGGGAAATGACTACAGTTAATAATAAGGGTAAATAAGGAAAATTGTCTGTTGGTTTTTCAAACTGGACAAGGAAAAATGGACATAGAGACTAGGTGACTTCTTTCAATCTATGCTGCTCGTGGGAGGTAGTAAGTATCCCGTGGAATTAGTCAAGGTGCTCACAAGCTGGCCCACATACGACGAGTTATAAATATAAAAGGAATCACTTTCTTTCCTACAAAATTATGCAGGAAGCGAAAGCTGCAGGTTGTCGTTCGTCTGCTGAAGTTGATAGGTACTTAGAAAGGAAAAGGAAGAAGGAAGTTGAAGAAGGTGTTCCGAGAAAGGGAAGCTCTCAGATTGGCCCAATGAGCCAGGAAAGCCTGAACATACCTGCTTCTTCTGAGTCACTTGGAATACATTCAAATAGAAAACCTTGTAGCCAGGCGATTTTGAGTTCCGACACCAATGCAGGTGTTCCAGCTTTTTCTGCAGGAGAACTGTTATCTGAACCTGTAAGTTTTCAGATTTCCGTTTTTGAAAGGAATTCTTTAGCAACTTTAAATTGTTTTATTTCTTTGAGACTTGCGTCTAGGACTCATTAAATGGAACAGTTCAATTTTAATGGTGCTGCAACCAGTGGGACACCGGTTGTAAGCACAAACTTTACACGCGCACACACATGACATAGCCCCCCCCCCCCCCCCCCCATCCTCCAGCCCCACCCCCACCTCCCCACACAAATTTGTTGGGACTGCTTCAAATTCATATAAAATACACATTAGTTTTGGAAAAAGTAAAGCCCCCACATACAACTCAAGTTGTGATAATAGACCAATACGACCTGGTAACCACTTTCTTCTTTTCCTTTGTTTTAAACCAGATGCTTGAATGCAAGTAATAATAAACTTGAATGACGATGTCTTTTGCTTTGTTATCTGTTTTCAAAGTTTTTCTTTGTTGAGTTAGCCATACACTTCACATGTTTCAAGCCAAGTTGTGATAATTGACCAATTCGACTTGGTAACTACTTTGTTCTTCTTCCAAGTTTTATACCTGATGCATGAATGCAAGGAATAACAAACTTACATCACAATGTCTTTTTCTTCGTTATTTTGATTTTGGTTGGATTGGCCATACATTTCACATGTTTCAAGTCGAGTTGTTGTGATTTAACAGACCAATACGACTTGGTAATCACTTTGTTCTTTATCCTAGTTTTCACCAGATACATTAACACAAGGAATAACAAATGTACATCAAAATGTCTTTTTCTTCGTTATTCTGATTTTGGTTGGTTAGCCACACACTTAAAATGTTTCTGGCGATTCACGTGTGATCTTTTCTGATTGCAGGAGAAACAACTATGTCAAGAAATCAGGTTATCGCCGCATCATTATCTTAGGATGCAGGAGGTCCTTACAATACAAATTTATAGTGGTAATATCACTAGAAAATCAGATGCTTATCCTTTGTTTCAAATAGAAGCAACTAAAGTAGATAGAGTTTATGATATGCTTTTGAAGAAAGGAGTTGCACCCTTGTAAAATTCTGTCCAGATATTGTTTTTAGGTTTAAATGACATCACTCAGCTTTTTTATAGTATTTCTAATAGCATAGTTCGATTTATTAAGCTTCAGCTATGTGCGAGACTAGTGACAAGATTGGATCAGAGTTTATTGTAGTGACAAGATTGGATCAGAGTTTATTGTATATAACCTTACTCTCCATTTCTGTCAGAGGTTGTTCCCACCGTTCGAACCATACATTTTACCATATTTAAAGATTAATATACATGTACTCATGGTGGGGTTGGATGAGAACAAAATTTTTTTAAAAAAGAAAATCTTTTTGGTTCTTATTATGAAGCAAAAATACTAGAAACTTCCTATATGCATCACTTTGCCCCCAATTTTTAGCAATCAAAGTATCTTTGAATAATATTCCATTTTTTTATTTAGGAGAAATCTCTAGTACTATGGAGAATTTATTTGTAACCAGAAGCATTAAGCATTTATGTATATTATACTGTTCAATAACAGTAACAACAATAATACAATATTCTGTGTAGGCTTACAAATGAGGTCAAAATAGGCTAATTATATATACCTAAATTTTTTATTTTTTTTATAAAGATAAATATATAATATTTAATAGGTTTTTTTATTTCAAATAAAGTATTTCAAAACAGTTAAAAGAAAAAAGTATAATAATAAAAAATGATCAATACTATACTTTAATATAAGTAAATTATACAAGACAGTGCAATGAATCTTTTACTATCAATAAATTGTAACGTGTTATAACAGGTTATGTATGTATTAGTATGTTATAACAGGTTATGTATGTATTAGTATTTTTTTTATGACAAGAGAAATTCGCAATTGCTATTCTTTGGGTGCGCACTGATAAAACCCCGACTCCTATACGATAGTTCGCAAACCACATAGATGAGGTAATCCGCACTAGACAAACCTGTATAACGAGCTCGACCCAGAAGGCAAACCCCTTTCTTCTGTTGGCTAGAGATTTCGAACTCGATAGTTTACTTAACAATCATTTATTAGATAGGAGATATGGTAGTATAAAATATAAATTTATTTTATTTTATTTATTTTTTTGATAAAAAAATAAGAAAAAAAACAAGAACTATTTTTTAATGTGAAATTTGTTAGACTGTTGAGTAGTGTTTTAGCTCCCTATAAAAAGACCATACTCTATACATACATGCACATAAACCAGCCAGATCCAAAATAAAAGATACATATCTTCATCAATATTTATTCAAGCCAAATGATTGGAAGTGCTAAAAGACCAAATAATATACACTATGAACTAATGATAAGGAAAACATTACAATTTCTAGTCCTAATATCTTTCATATCCTTCTTTTTTTCTTACACCTATGATTTCTCCTTCTTTTTCACCTATAATTATTTTCACTTTTTCTCAACTCTTGTTTTCCCACTTTTTGCACATGTTTTTGATAGGAAATACATGTTTTTACTATGTAATAGTATCCTTGCATTTCTTGTCAAGAGCTTGAGTTGTTGTAGGTTTGATAAACAAGAAAATGTACTAATCAAAGGTGGATTTTATGATGAAGAAGTAGAAGTGCATGAAGAAGAAGAAGAAGATTTAGAAGAAATAACAAACAAAATATCTGAAGATATGCGAGTTCAAGAAAGCGATTTATATTATAACATTTGGCAAACTAAAGCAGACTTCAAGAACATAGTAGAAGATATATTTTTACAAGCTCAAGAAAGTGATTTATGTTACGGTCTCTGGCAAGCTAAAGCAGATACCAAAAACATGATAGAAGACACATGCATATTATCAGACCAAATATCAAAAGATATGCAAGCTAAGGAAAGCGATTTATGTTTCAACCTCCGGCAAGCTAAAACAGGCACAAAAAACGTAGTAGAAGAAACATGTTTATTATCAGACAAAACAATAGAAGGTATGCAAGATCAAGAAAGCGATTTATATCAAGCAAAAGCAGACACCAAAAGCATGGTAGAAGACACATATTTATTATCTGACAAAACAACAGAAGATATGCAAACTCAAGAGAGTGAATTACATTATGGTCTTTCTCAAGCTGAAGTAGACACTCAGTATACGACAAAAGAAACATCGTATTTATTATTAGATAAAATAACAAAAGATATGCAAGCTCAAAAAAGCAACTTATATTATAACCTTCGACAAGCTAAAGCAAATACCAAGAACATAGCAGAAGAAGAAGAAGGGAATGAAGATAATATGAGCATAGAAGAACTCAATAGGAAGATTGAAGAATTCATAAGGAAGATGAAAGAAGAAATTAGAAGCTAGCTAGGCCTTCAAGGATATGGTAAATATGTAAGAAATATGAAAAGCACATGAAATTATGGTTCGAATTTTTAGTAGAGACAAAAATAATAGTTATTTCTTTTATCTATTTAATTATAATAATAAGAGATTAGGGTTCAAATGCCATCGTAAACAAAAATCATATTGCTTTCTTCTTATTTGTCTATAGGAGGTCAGGTTCAAATCTCAACAAAAACAAAAGTTACAACAATTTCTTTTGTTCGTCTAATTCATAGGAGATCAGAGTTTAAATCTCACACAATAAATTAATAATAACTTCCTCTAATCTATCTAAATCTTCATAAGTAAAATTACAATAATATTCTATTTATGCTGATTTTTTTTAAAAAAAATATTAAGCCATCATCACCTGTTTATGCTGATAGAATTTAATAATAAATATCTAACAGATTAGTTGAGGTGCGCGTAAATTCAATTTATGGAACTGATTTTGAAAAATTCATGTCACTTGGACCTTGTCTAAATAATAAATAATAATATAGTGAGTTTTTTGTTGTTTTTGTTTTAGTTGTATTATGTTTGATTTGATAGGTTTGTCTTTCGATTTAATATTTATCTCAATAATACATGCAACTTGGCTTAGAGCCTGGAGGTGTATAGAAGTTACTAGAAAAAGGAATTAGACAAGGCAAAAAATTAATATATTCCAGAATATATTTAAAGAACAAATAATACATAATTATCAAAATAATTTATTGTAATATTCGAATTAAATACTGTGCAAAATAGAAATTGACCTATATATGTACCTAAAAAGAAGAATTAACTTAAATAAGCCATGCCATTTAAATTAAAGGGAAGTTATTCGAAATAACAAGCATTTACGTCTAACACTATAGTTACTGTTTAAGAAAATTATAATATGTGGCTACAGTTTGTTCAATTTATGTTATTCGCGTGATTTGTATGCCTTCATACAAATTTATAAATTCATAATTTGTATAATTAGATTTCTACTGTATAAATTTAGAATTTTGTATATGCTTAGCTATTTGTATACAGTTTCGAAAAAATTCATAACAATTAAATACTACTTTTATATATTGACAAGTGAAATATAAAAAAGAAGTTACGAAAAAATCTTAAATGTATAGATACAAAATTTGAATATATTTCTTGGATATTCGTCTGCGATATACAAATGCGGACTCCATAGCAAATAAAAATATATATAACTACACAGTGCAATTATCAAAACAATAATTATAGAGCCTTATTATATCTATTATGTTTATTATTTCTTAAATTTTCTCGATATTAAGAAAAACGTATTTTTGATGAATAAATTAGCTATAGCTACATGGAGTGGAGTTGATAAAAAAGTGAACAAAGAACAAATTTGCCATGTCATAATTTAGTAACTATTTGCGGCATTTAATAATATTTTTTAAAACATAGTTATACATCGTAAATATTTACTTTTAGATTTGTAAAGTTGATATCTTTTCCATACTTCTTTTAAGTCATAATCAATTACAAGCTGGCCATTTTCCAAAGTTTAATATTTTGTCCATATATAAATTATTATTGGACTAATGTGTTATATTATTTTTTGCAAGCTGGAAGCCAACATTGTTAACTTTATTAAGCTATTTATTGTCCTTCTTGACATTTAAGCAATATCACATTATCAATATGGTACAATTTCCTTTATCTAATGATGTAAATCTTTGAAAAGCTCCTTTTCTAAATGTCCATTCTGTGGGCCATTTTTTTTAAGAAATTGTGATTTACGAACGATTCGATACATAAAATATTTACGCAGATTTTAGAGAAAAAGTTATAACAACAAAGTGTAAAATGAAGGCTTTCAATTATTGAGATATAATAATTATTGAGAATTGTTAGTTAACAGTATTGGTGAGCAGGAGAGTTAGTTAAATTTTCTGTTAGTCACATGGTTAGTTAGTTAAGTCACATGGTTAGTAAGGTAGTTGGTTATATTGTTAGCTAATGTGATCACATTTTTTTCTCTGCTTCTTTGATGATTTTCAATTCCAAAACACTTGTATATAATGTAGGAGAAGTCATATATGAAAGATAACACAATAGAAAGAAATACAGATTGCTTCTCTCTTCTTCTTCTTCCTTTCGTCAATGGCAGTTAGTGAACTGCATCACTGAATTCATTAGAGCCATTAGAGCTCTTGACTCACTGCATCAGTGAGTTCTTGTTATGGTATCAGAGCAGGGGTAGATTCCTTCGTTATTGACATTATAGGATCTGTGTTCGATCCTGTTTTTAATCCAAACTCATCAGTTTACCATGCAGGAAGCCGCAAACCAAACAACTACTACTAGAATTGACATGAATAGTGTGTTCTATGTTCATCCCTCAGACAATCCAGGAACACCACTTGTTCCAACTCAATTTGATGGAGTTGGATACAGATCATGGAGAAGAGGTATCTTACGAGCTTTATCTGTGAAGAACAAGACAGGTTTCATTGATGGAAATTGTGCAAAGCCTGCTGAAAATTCACCACAAGCTCGTCAATGGCAGAGATGTGATGATATGGTAACTTCATGGATATTGAATTCTCTTACTAAAGAAATTGCAGATAGTGTTGAATATGTTAGCAATTCGTGTGAACTTTGGAAGGAGCTAGAAGACAGATATGATCAGACAAATGGTGCAAAACTATATCAAATTCAAAAGAAGATTGATGACTTAACACAGGGAACACTAGACATCATTGTCTATTACACAAAGTTGAAGAAGTTGTGGGAGGAATTAAACACTTTGAACACGAAAAGCATATGCACATGTACATGTACTTGTCGTGCCAAAGATAGCATGCATAAATCAGAACAGGATAGACGATTGATACAATTCCTTATGGGATTAAATGAAGTT